CAATACTAAAAAGTAGTTACTCAATACTTTCAGACTTGAATATGGATTTAACTTATTTAAATTTAACGGCTATGATGTGAAAAAATACAGCTCTAAAATCTAATATAGACCATATCATTATTAGAAATGCAACTCTTAGCAATATCAAATCAATGTAAAAATAATTTAAACACTGCAATAATAGTTAAAAAGTTACAAATATTTATCGACGCTATCTAAAAAAATAAAATGTCTCAAAAGAGGTGTGATGTCTGGTCTAACTTTACTTAAAAAAAGGAAAAATTCCTCGTTTTTAATTTAAAATAAAACCGTTAAAAGTATCGAGTAGTATTGAGTACCCAAACGAAAAGTATTGAGTAGTATTGAGTAATCAAAAGTAGTAGAATATTACAGCACTACTAACTAACTAACTAACTAACTAACTAACTAACTAACTAACTAACCGAACTAACTAACTACTAACTAACTAACTAACTAACTAACTAAACTAACTAACTAACTAACATAACTACTACTAACTAACTACTAACTAACTACAACTAACTAACTAACTAACTACTAACTAACTAACTAACTAACTAACTACTAACTAACTAACTAACTAACTAACTAACTAACTAACTACTAACTAACTAACTAACTAACTAACTAACTACTAACTAACTAACTAACTACTACTAACTACACTAACTAAACTAACTAACTACTACTAACTAACTAAATACTAACTACTAACTAACTAACTAACTAACTACTAACTAACTAACTAACTAAACTAACCTAACTAACTAACTTAAGAACTAACTAACCTAACTAACTAACTAACTAACTAACTAACAACTAACTAACTACTAACTAACTAACTACTAACTACTAACTAACTTACTAACTAACTAACTAACTAACTAACTAACTAACTTAACTAACTAACTAACTAACTAACTAACTAAACTCATAACACTAACTAACTAACTAACTAACTACTAACTAACTACTCTAACTAACTAACTAATTAACTAACTAACTTAACTAACTAACTAACTAACTACTAACTAACTAACTAACTAACTAACTAACTAACTAACTAACTAACTAACTAACTAACTAACTAATAACTAACTAACTAACTAACTAACTAACTAACTAACTAACTACTAACTAACTAACTACTAACTAACTAACTAACTAACTAACTAACTAACTAACTAACTAACTAACTAACTAACTAACTAACTAAACTAACTAACTAACTAACTAACTCACTAACTAACTAACTACTAACTAACTAACTAACGAACTTACTAACTAACTAACTAACTAACTAACTAACTAACTAACTAACTAACTCCGCTATATACATATTTCCTTCTCACGATGGTGAATGGTATTAAAAAGTTACATTCAATCAAATCTGTATTTGCCTAAATTTCATGTTTCAATACAAATTTAATATTTTTGTTATGGATATTTTGTTCGGATATAAATACATATTGCAAACCCAGTACTAAAGTGATTCAACTCAAATTTGTATTTTTGCGTTTTTATATTCTTTAAGCCTTAACTATGCACAAGATATTTCGTAATTGTTAACTGTCATGTCTTTCTTTATGTTTCAGAATTTGTAAAAATATTTCTCCCTTTTCTGAAAAAAAATTTGAGTTGTATCACTTTTGTACTGGGTGTGCGATATGTATGTCCAGACTTTATACTTACTTCTATAAATTTTTAAATTAATTGTGTATATTTTGCAACAATGGAAATTACTCATAAAACAAATATTTTAATTTCATAAAACTTTTTAGTGAAATGTTTAGTAAAATATAAACATGTTTTCAAACTTTAAGTTAAAAACGATAATGATGTAAAGTACAAAAAGAATAACAAATAAAAAGAGCAACATAAATATAAAAACATACTTTTTAAAAAAAATGTAATAGTGTACAAAGTAAATAAATCTTTTTTCCTCACACACATGCATGCAAACATATAAAATAGGTAAGAGTGTTATATTCGGTCATGCCGAATTTTATATGCCCATTATCAAACCATTATTAAAATTACAGTAATTTTCTGCAAGAGGCAATTTGTAATACCTATAAAACTTGTCTATGTTTAAAGTTATGAGCGTTCATTTTCTGAATAGGTAAATGTGGGGACTAGAAACAAATGTGGCTCGATCTGCATAAAAATTCCTAGAGAGTTTTGTACTCCTATAAAGGTAAATAAAATCTATTTTCTTCGTTAATTGGTAATTGGTATTTTGAAGAAGTCATTACATATCCAATTATGAACTGATCGTCATCATGGTGTCAAGTCTGTTATGAGCAATAAAGAAATTTTCGGAAGTGGAGAGTCAAAAATGCTCCGATACTTCTGATATTTAGTGAAGATATTTTTTAATCGCTATACTGGTATTTTTTGTCTGTTATGAGTGAAAAAGTAGTTTTCTGAAAGGGACTTTATATGGGAGATAGGGTCTAATATGAAACGAATCGGTGCACTAATGAAATTTAGTTTAGTTTTTTAAAAACTGATTTTATCTTACAAACAGACAGACATATATACAGGCATTCGAACAGAATGAAGAAATAGCAATTTGAACTCCTTTGGATAATTTTTGCTAGGACCAATAGGTGAAAAGTTACAATCATTTGAATGAAACCCTGTATGACCCCATCTGGTGCAAATTTCATTCAAATCGATACGCTTCTCACATTTTAATTAAAGGGTAGAGATATCACATTGTGTACAATTAACTTTAGTATCAAAATATATAATTAAATGCAAAAAGGAGGACTAAAAATAATAGGCGTGGCACCTCACAAAATAAAAATTAAATAATATTGAAATTTAGAGTTTATCAGTGAAATTATAAGATCTAGAATCTTACACAGACAACTTTAACATTCATATAAATATCTGTGGTAGAAATAAGTGAACTAGTAATAGTGGGCGTGGCACCTTCCATATAAGTTAAGTACTTTAAAAACAAGAGTTCTCAAATTTTTTAAACTAACTTTAGTGTCAATATAAATGTTTTTGAAAAAATTAATGAACTAAAAATAGTGGGCGTGGCACCTTTCATAAAAAACGTTACTGTCAAAGTTATATAGGGCAAAAAGAGATTTTTATACCCTACACCACTTTAGTGGGGAGGTTATATTGGATTTGTGCTGATGTTTGTAACATATAAAAATATTCGTCCTAGACCCACCTTAAAGTATACCAATCGGCTTAGAATCGTTTTCTGAGTCGATTAAGCTATGTCCGTCCGTCCGTCCGTCTGGCTGGCTGGCTGGCTGGCTGTCCATGTAAACCTTGTGCGCAAGCTACAGGTCGCAATTTTCAAGATAATTGGATGAAATTTGGCACGCACGTTTTATTTGACCCAAGGACGAAGCCTATTGAAAATGGTTAAAATCGGTCCATTATTTCACCTAGCCCCCATAGAACAGAACAGCCCGAAAAGGGCTTCTGAGCTCATAATTATGTTAAATATACAGATATATCGATAAAATACGGCATAACTAAGTTTTATAGAAGTCTTGATAACCTTGCCAAATTTCATAAAGATCGGGCCCCATTTGACCCTAGCTCCCATACAAAGTCCCCTTCAGAAAATTACTTGAATGTCCCAAATTAACTTATAAACACAAATATCGCGATGAAATTCAGCGCAATAAAATATTATGTAAATATAAATATATTCACAAAATTTTATCGGGCTTGGTCCATATTTGCCCCTAGCCCCCATATAAAGCCTCTTTCAGAAAATTAGTTTTTCATCCATAAATTGCTTAAATGTATCGGAACAAGGGAATATTGAAGATAAATGCGATATTATGAAAAATAAATCACATTTAATATTCATAACTGGTGTAGGGTATCATATGGTCGGCCACGCCCGACTATACTTTCTTACTTGTTGTTTACATTAGTAAATATTAGTAAGTATTATGTTTCATATTGGACGCACAAACTAATTTATATACATACTTAGAAGTAGTTACCTTCAGTTACTGCCCTTATTTCTAAGGAGATTCGAAACTTTTTTTCCCCAACATTCATATGTATATGTTACTGTATTCTGTTTTATTTAACTTGTTATTTTTCTCAGTAATATTTAAACATTCTGAAGTTACTAAATAAATATTTGTATATGTTTTAAATTTTTATTCAAATAAGTTAAATATTTTTCTACCTTAAAATATTGTGTATCCTAAACATCATCAAAATGTATCGAACAATTCAATTTCCCTTTAAAGGTTTCAAAAGAATTTGCTTCCTTGGGCGAATACTTAAATATTCAATGTACTGTTACTAAGTTATATAAATACATATATATTTTGATATTTAAATAAACTTTAAAGAAGAAACTTTACGTAATACACACTAATTTACACTATTTAGAATATTTCCTGTTAAGGGCGTAGTTATGCTAATTTAGGAAATAGACAAATTGTCAAAACTTTTTATTTTGTATAATAAACAGATGATAAACCTTATAATTTCTGGGTAATTTGTCTGTAAACATTTTCATAAACTTTACAATTAAAAGTTTATGTTAATTTCATTTCTATGTAATTTTTTTCATAATTACTTTCACATTTTCATCCTCAAAATTAACAAAAATAGATTTAATGTAATTATGTATATGTTTAAACATTTTAAACTGTCAAAACCATAAAGCAATTTGAAGAGTTTTTTTTTAATGTCAACACCACTACTTGGGTTAGTAAGAATTTTAAGAAATTAAATTTAATAATAAATAGCTAAATTTATTGCTTTTTAATCAACTTTAAGAATCAAAAGGTTAGGGAAATTTTCAATAATACTGGAAACAATGCCGTAATAATAAACCCTAAAAGTATGCAAATTTTATTTATTATGCTGTTATTTATTTGTAACAATTGTATACAATATGTATGCTGAATCAGGTGAATATATTTTTTTAAACAAAAACTAAATAAATATAATAAATTGCATTGAATTTAACTTACAAATGAAATCATGGGTATATTCCATGCTGCTGCCAACAGGGCTTCTGATATGCAACTTTCATCTGGTCCTATAAATGCAGCCACATTTTCATTTTTCATTTGAGTCATAAATCTGTAAAAAAAAAACAGAAGAGATGGTTAAAATATCTATATGTATAAAACAATTGTTAGGAAAATTTCCTTATTTTAATTGAGGTTTTAATTGTAGATATTATTTAGCATTCTTTGTTATTCTTTATTTTAAATATAGTAGTTTTTATTTTAGTTTAGGATTTTGTTTAAATTTCATTTTTAAAATGTATTTAAATGTTATGCAAAAATTTTATTTTTATAAAGTAAGAATGCTACATTCGGTCGTGCTAGATAATAAATACCTTTTTTGATACCTATCATATATTGGTTTAAATACGTTTTTCATTTCATTGTTAATTTCTAAAATGTAATTTTCCGACCCTATAAAATATATGTGTTCCATGTCCGTAGAAATCCATTTACCCATTTCCATCTTAGAAACATAAAATTAAGCATGTAGAGTCCGGAGTAAATTAACCTATAAAGAGGATTTTTTGCTATTTTTACGTACTTCAGAAGGTACATTTTGAGATACTGATACTCGTAGCTTTAGTTAGTTTGTTAGTTAGTTAGTTAGTAGTTGTTAGTTAGTTTGTTAGTAGTTAGTTAGTTAGTTAGTTAGTTAGTTAGTTAGTTAGTTCAGTTAGTTAGTTAGTTAGTTAGTTAGTTAGTTAGTTAGTTAGTTAGTTAGTTAGTTAGTTAGTTAGTTAGTTAGTTAGTTAGTAGTTAGTTAGTTAGTTAGTTAGTTAGTTAGTTAGTTAGTTAGTTAGTTAGTTAGTTAGTTAGTTAGTTAGTTAGTTAGTTAGTTAGTTAGTTAGTTAGTTAGTTAGTTAGTTAGTAGTTAGTTAGTTAGTAGTTAGTTAGTTAGTTAGTTAGTTAGTTAGTTAGTTAGTTTAGTTAGTTAGTTAGTTAGTTAGTTAGTTTAGTTAGTAGTTAGTTAGTTAGTTAGTTAGTTAGGTAGTTAGTTAGTTAGTTAGTTAGTTTAGTTAGTAGTTAGTTAGTTAGTTTAGTTAGTTAGTTAGTTAGTTAGTTAGTTAGTTAGTTAGTAGTTAGTTAGTTAGTTAGTTAGTTAGTTAGTTAGTTAGTTAGTTAGTTAGTTAGTTAGTTAGTTAGTTAGTTAGTTAGTTAGTTAGTTAGTTAGTTAGTTAGTTAGTTAGTTAGTTAGTTAGTTAGTTAGTTAGTTAGTTAGTAGTTAGTTAGTTAGTTAGTTAGTTAGTTAGTTAGTTAGTTAGTTAGTTAGTTAGTTAGTTAGTTAGTAGTTAGTTAGTTAGTTAGTAGTTAGTTAGTTAGTTAGTTAGTTAGTTAGTTAGTTAGTTAGTTAGTTAGTTAGTTAGTTAGTAGTTAGTTAGTTAGTTAGTTAGTTAGTTAGTTAGTTAGTTAGTTAGTTAGTTAGTTAGTAGTTAGTTAGTTAGTTAGTTAGTTAGTAGTTAGTTAGTTAGTTAGTTAGTTAGTTAGTTAGTTAGTTAGTTAGTTAGTAGTTAGTTAGTTAGTTAGTTAGTTAGTTAGTTAGTTAGTTAGTTAGTTAGTTAGTTAGTTAGTTAGTAGTTAGTTAGTTAGTAGTAGTTAGTTAGTTAGTAGTTAGTTAGTTAGTTAGTTAGTTAGTTAGTTAGTTAGTAGTTAGTTAGTTAGTTAGTTAGTTAGTTAGTTAGTTAGTTAGTTAGTTAGTTAGTTAGTTAGTTAGTAGTTAGTTAGTTAGTTAGTTAGTTAGTTAGTTAGTTAGTTAGTTAGTTAGTTAGTTAGTTAGTTAGTTAGTTAGTTAGTTAGTTAGTTAGTTAGTTAGTTAGTTAGTTAGTTAGTTAGTTAGTTAGTTAGTTAGTTAGTTAGTTAGTTGTAGTTAGTTAGTTAGTTAGTTAGTTAGTTAGTAGTTAGTTAGTTAGTTAGTTAGTTAGTTAGTTAGTTAGTTAGTTAGTTAGGTAGTTAGTAGTTAGTTAGTTAGTTAGTTAGTTAGTTAGTTAGTTCGTTAGTTAGTTAGTTAGTTAGTTAGTTAGTTAGTAGTTAGTAGTTAGTTAGTAGTTAGTTAGTTAGTTAGTTAGTTAGTTAGTTAGTTAGTTAGTTAGTTAGTTAGTTAGTTAGTTAGTTAGTTAGTTAGTTAGTTAGTTAGTTAGTAGTTAGTTAGTTAGTTAGTTAGTTAGTTAGTTAGTTAGTTAGTTAGTTAGTTAGTTAGTTAGTTAGTTAGTTAGTAGTTAGTTAGTTAGTTAGTTAGTTAGTTAGTTAGTTAGTTAGTTAGTTAGTTAGTTAGTTAGTTAGTTAGTTAGTTGCTTCAAACATGTCCTTTACCTAGTATTGCTACGAAGACAAATTTTTCGAAAAGTTTAAAAATCATTAAATTTTGAGCTTAGAACAAAAATAATCAAAAGTTGCACGTAAGTTCATCATACTGCTGTAAAAACATATGTTTTTAAAACAAACAAGCAAATATTTTTGCATGTTTCATTAATTAAATGGAAACAAACAGAAAACTATTACAAATATTTTAAAACAACTTTAAAAAAATATTATAAAAATCTTTGAAGGTATAATTTTAATATTACAGAACTATTAACACGTGTAAATTTTTACATATGTTACATATTGCATATACATAGACAACAGTTGAGAATTTTATTAAATTTTATTATTAAGTACCTCAATATTTAACTTTAAGATCACACAAGGCTATTTATATTTTTGTGCGAATAAAACCTACTCACACAATACACTTGTTTCCATAGTAACGGAAATTCACCTCTTACCTTATGGGTTGTACGCGATAAAGTCCTGTTGTATGACCAATATCGAATGCTTTAAATGACAAACGTTTGCCTGGCAGCAGCAAAGGATTCTTATTTATGTCCTCCACAGCTAAAGGCAGACCACCAAGTGTCACCTGTAATATATATATATATGAGTAGTAAATAAGAGTTATTGAAATCGAAATATCATTTGGGAAATGTATGTTTATTCAAATAAAACTTAAAACAAAAAAAGAATAGATTTGCAATCAATTGGTACTTTACACAAGTAGATTTCAAAGGGATAATCATGTGCCTTGTTTTAAGTTTAAATGGAAAAATATTTATATTTAAAATATATGTGTGTGTTAAATGTGCACAATGGGTTTGATGGATTACAAGTTATTGGAGATGTTTTATTATACGAATAAAACAAAGTAAAATTTTTGCTATTTTTGAGTAAACACTGGATGGAAGAAAAATTCTTGGAGACTAATTGAATAATAACTTGTTGTCTTGTTAAAGGTACTTTTCCAGTTTTTGTATGTTTATCATTGCTAATTAATGAGTCAAAATGTTTACTTAGAAATATAATTAAATATTTCAAACTGAAAATTTCTTAAAATGTATTAAGTACTTAATTTAAAAATCAATTTTTTTCATAATTCCTAAAATTTACATTATAAATTCAAGCCTTCACTGTACAATTTATGCATAAATTTACAAAAAATCTGTCTATGATTGTGCTGCTTTAAGTAAATACTTACACGCATAAACCGAAAAAAAATCATAAAAAAATTCTCTTGGCAACGTTTATATTTAAAGTGTCCTTGAAAAGTGTCAAGTTCTCGCTTAAATTGTAAGTCATGGCAATTTGCTGGAAATGTGTACATTGAACATTGTACAAATGACTAAGCAAGCTATTGCTTTTAACCAAATGTCTATGTACTTAAACAGAGCAAAAAACAACAAAAAACAAAAAATCAAACATTTGAAAAAATATTGTTGACCATTTTGGGTGCGTAAAATTGTTTTGAAAAATACTTTAAACAGAAAAAACAAAGCCTTATTTCGAATTTAACCTAAATTAATTACTTAGTATTTGGGACAATATTCAAAAAAAGATAGGATTGTTTAATTTTGTGAGATGTTAGTTCATAAAGTGATGTTTTTTTAACTTAAATAATATGTTTTAAACAAAAATAACGAAACATTTAGAATTTTGCATAAATTAATTACTTATTTGGAACAATATTTAAGTAAGATAGAATTGAAATCAAGTTCTAAATAAAACGGGTTCATTTAATTGAACGATCCCTAAAAAATAGTGCCTTTTAATTAAAAAAAACAATAAGTCGACGATCAATTTAGTTTATCAAATAGTTAGTAACTTGTTAAGTAATTGAAACTATAGTTAGTACTTTACTCGACATTGTGATCGACTCTATAGTCGAACTACGATCGACTCTACAGCCGTCTCTACGATCGACTCTATAGTAGAAACTACGCTCGATTCTATAGTTGACTTTATAATCTACCAAATAGACGTCTCTATAGACGACAAGTCGAGTATCAGTACTCGATACTAGTGTCTACAGTCGACTCTATAGTCTACTATAGGGTCGACTAAAGAGTCGACTATGGGGTTGACTTAATGGTCGACTATATAGTCGACTACTGAATAGGCTATAGTCGACTACATGTCGACTATATTATCAACTATAGATTCGACTATAGCGTCGACTACAGCGTCGACTATAGCATCGACTATAGAGTCGACTATAGCGTCGACTATAGTGTTGACTATAGGGTAGACTATAGAGTCGACTCTATAGTTGATAATATAGTCGACATGTAGTCGACTGTAGCCTATTCAATAGTCTATAGTCGAATCTATAGTTGATAATATAGTCGACATGTAGTCGACCCCATAATCGACTCTATAGTCGACACCCTAGTCGACTCTATAGTCGACTCTATTGTCGACTCTATAGTCGACTCTAAAGTCAACCCTATAGTCGACTCTATAGTCGACCATAGAGTCGACAAGTGTCGACTACAGGTCGACTATAATATCGATTATAGCGTCGACTATAGTGTTGATTATAGGGTGGACTATAGAGTCAACTGTATAGTCAACACTATAGTCCAGTCAATAGTTGACTCTAAAGTCATGTTAATAGTCGACTCTATAGTCTACTCAACAGTCTACTCTATAGTCAACTCTATAGTCGACTCTATAGTCGACTCTAAAGTCAATCCTATAGTAGACTCTAAAGTCAATCCTATAGTCGACTCTAAAGTCAATCCTATAGTCGACTCTAAAGTCAACCCTAAAGTCGACTCTATAGTCGACCATAGAGTCGATAAATGTCGACTATTGAATAAGCTATAGTCGACACCATAGTCGACACTATAGTCGACCATAGAGTCGACAAGTGTCTACTATTGAATAGGCAATAGTCGACTACAGGTCGACTATAATATCGATTATAGTGTTGATTATAGGGTGGATTATAGAGTCAACTGTATAGTCAACACTATAGTCCAGTCAATAGTTGACTCTAAAGTTATGTCAATAGTCGATTCTATAGTCTACTCTACAGTCTACTCTATAGTCTACTCTATAGTGGACTCTAAAGACTACTATAGCCTATTCACTATAGCTATATACTATAGCCTATTCTATAGTCGATCCTATAGTCGAATCTATAGTCGATCCTATAGTCGACTCTATAGTCGATCCTATAGTCGACTCTATAGTCGATCCAATAGTCGACTCTATAGTCGATACTATAGTCGACACTATAGTCGAGTCTATAGACGAAGCTATAGTCGACTCGATAGTCGTCATTATAATCGAATTTGTGGTTGAAGTTGGCTCCTGTTTGTTAAAAGTTAATTAATTAAACGTGGCAATAAATTTCAAAAGGACCCTGTTTCTAAACTAACTTTAAATTTACAACAAATATTTTGATGGTATATAAACTAAAGCATAAATTACAAAGTAATAAATCAAATATATAGTTTGAGTTTGTTGTTTGTGTTACAACTTAAATCATAATTCTGTTTTCGCACTAAACACTAATGTATTCAAGTAATTAAAATAATTGTTAGAACAAATTTAAACGCATATTAATTGTTTGCATGCAAATTCATTCTAAATATTTGCTTAAAGTATACGTATGAGTAATAATAAATTCATGTTAACACAATTAATATTTATCATACGTTACATAGCTTCAAAATGGTTTTAAATTAAAATTAATTTAAATAACGATTTTTACAGATAACTGTTATTACTTAATTAATATTATCGTTTTCATTTATATTCATTTCTATTAAAACTAAATATTATTGTAAAATAGAGGTTTCAATTGGATTTAAAAAAATTCATGTTTTTATTAGTACACTTTTGTAATATGTGTTTTGTCCTTAGTATCGTATGCTTTTTTGAATTATGCAACGTATGTAAGCTCATCAGATTTTTATACCCTACACCACTATAGCATGTGTAGGGTGATGTTTGTAACACCCAAAAATAATGGTCCTACACACACCATAATGTATACTAATCGACTCAGAATCACTTCCCGTGTCGATTAAGCTACATAAGTCCGTCCGTCCGTCCGTCTGTCTGTCTGTCTGTCTGTCTGTCTGTCTGTCCGTCTGTCTGTCTGTTCGTCTGTGTCTCCATGTATTGTGCTCACGCTACAGGTCGCTATTTTCAAGATAATTTGATGAAATTTGATACATACTCTCCTTTTGACTCGCTAATGTTGCCAGACGTTTTAAGTTTTACAGAGTTCAGAGACTTTTTACTTAAAACAATATTTAATATTTAGATTAGAGGATAGGCGGTCAATTGTTGCATGGAAAAATCTCATCACCAGTGTTGCCAGAGTGTTAATTATTGTTACAGGGTTGCCAGACTTTTAATTTTTAAATAATGAAATAATTATTTAAATGAAATTAATGTCGGTTGCAATGTAAGCTAAATGCTATAAATATTTCAACATTGTCAGACTTTTGGAAATTGTAGGATTTTATAAAATTTCTTTGAACTGTTAAAACTTTTAAATTATTATAAAATATTCTTAAAATTAACTCTAAATCCTTGTTGTTCAAAATGTTCATTAAACATATTTTAGGAAGTTAATTTAAATTGAAGTGTTTTTTTTCTCTAAATATTTTATAAATTTGCCTAGCAGTATTCCCAAGAAATTTTCGTGTTTTTTTCTTTATTATATTTAATTGGCAATTCCCTTCCATGGTTTCATTTACAGTTTTACACACAATTTAATTTGTTATTCATTCTAAATGGTTGAGTATTCTTGTTTTTTACAACTTAACACAATTGAATAAGATTTTAAATGAATTAAATGAAATCCAATTGAAAAATTCTTGTTACACAAATTACATGTAGTTGTTGGCAAATAAATTAAATGGCAATAATAAATCACAATGTAATTTATTAAAAGTTAAATGTTAGGGTTAAGGTTAAGTCTTACTAAATAAATAAATTTATAGAATTTGATTTTGATAGCATATTTATTTAAAATATTTCTTTATATGTATTGTTAAAAATATATACATATATATGTATAAGTTTAAGTGATATCCCAAAGTTTATTTTAGATAAGATCTATATTTCTTAAATAAACCGTTTTGACAAATGAATGTAAAATTTTGTTTTTTTTTTTCTACGAACTGCATTAATTATGTTTTTATTATTCTAGTGTTTATTTTAGCCTAAATTAAATCTAAATGTATTTTTTTTGTCCAAACTTTTTTATACTATTATAAAAACTAAAAATATTTTGATTATTACTTAAAAAACCATCATTGGCACTTTACAAATATGATAAAAAAATACATTAAAATTTAACAATAATATTGGAAAATTTTTAAAATAAATAAATTCATGTTATTGTTGATAATATATGTATGTATATGTCTACGGTTAAAAAAAATATTTTAAATTTAAAATGTAAATTTCTATTCTTCATGTTTAATGCTTTTGTATTTTGTTTTCGTTTACTTAAATATATTTTTTTTCAATATTTTCATTCAATTTGTTTCAAGTTCAAAGTAGTCAGTGTATTGTGATATTTTTTAACAACATTTTTGTTTTGTTTCTTTTTAAATAAAAAAG